AAACCAAATCTCAAATTATGTTAATTTCTAGTATTTTTCATTGACAGCTGACTAACTCACCATCCCCCCTTTATCACAAGGGCAACAGTGGGTTAAAGTCAACACCAGACAATGATGCAATCACCAAACCCAAATTGAGTGCAGGTCGCTTTAAGAAAGTAGTAGTTGTAATCTGAAGCCTGCTGGCTGCCGGATTGGGAGGCAAAAGAAACACACATACACACACACACAAACTGCTGTGCTCACTGGAGCCCCTCAGTGTGGAGGCTCCAAGGGACCTAGGCTGGAGGCAGCGCTGCAGTGCACCCAAAGGTAAAGACCTGCTCTGGGTGCCAGGGGAACTCTGTGTGGCCCTGGGCTGGAGGGACTAGGGAGAGGCAGGGATACTCTAGGGGGCAGTTAAGAGGGGTGCCTGGGAGAGGTGGGAGGGAGGAGCCCCTGCAGCTGGACACCAGCGTGCATGAGAGGGCAGGTGGCGTTTGGGAGGACAGAAGACCAGGACCCTATTGTTCCCCAGTTCCCCTGCACTTCTCAGCCACGAGGCTGGAGAGACTTTTGAATGAAGCAAGTGGGAAACAATGGAGAGCTGATGGGGGCAGCGGGGAGCAGTGTTCAGAGGGAGTTGAGCCCCCGCTGGGCCAGGCAGCAGACCGGGAGGCATCCCTTCCTGCCGCCCAGCTCCCTGCTCCCTCTTCAAACCAGCTTGGTGCTGTTAGCAAGATAACTTCCCAACCTGTCCCAGCGAGGGCATGGAGCCCAGCGGGGGCCTTTCCTTCAGCTCCCACCCACTCTCTTTGGCTGAACCAACTCAGCCTTGCAGACCATGACCCCTGTCTAGCGTGGCCAGTAGAGGGGATGGAGGAGCCCGCCAGCCCATGCTGGAGAGAGGAGTTGTCCGCACCCTCTGATCCTCGGGGCAAACCACAAGGCGGCAAAGACCAGCTGAGGGCTTCCCAGAAGCCCCGTCACCATCTGGCCCAGGCTGGACTGGGAGGTTAGCGCCCAGCTGAGAGGGGGAGGGTGGAGGGTGCCAGGGTTGCGGCTGCAGCTGGTCCCTCTGGTGTCTGGGGAGATGCAATCCCAGGGGCCCTGGCCTGACCCATCCAGGCTCTAAGACACCCAGGAGGAACAGTGCCCACCGTGGCTGGGCCCAGAGCAAGGGGACAGGGAGGTGCCCTTCCTTGTCTGCCCACAAGGTCTATGGCCATGTGGCTGGAAGGCTCTGTGGTCCTGGTTGCAGGAGGAAGGAGGGACGGTATTTGTCTTTCACTGGATTTAATAGGAAACACATGTATTGGCTCTGAAGGCATCCTCCCAGCTTGGGAGCAAGATCACAAAACTCCAGCTCCTGGCTCTCTTCGCCTGGGCAACAGTAACGCCTGACCTTGGCCTGACAGGGAGGGGATCTGCCTCCTCCCTCTCCCTGGTTGGACAGAAGTCTGGCTTGGGCACTGCCCTTTGGACGGATGGCTCCGTTGCCCTTGGCCCTGGCCAGCCAACGGTTGCCTGCCCCAGCCCGGAGGGAAATCACCTTCCACAGGGAAGGGAGATGAGCGAGCGGGCCTGGAGGGAGCCTGACTCACTGCTTTAAAGGATTTGCAGTAAGCTCTCCATATCTTCATCCTAGGGCTTGGGGGATGGGTTCAAAGAGGTGTATGTGGTTATGAATAGTGTTTCTCCTCCCCACCCCACCCCGCCCCCATCTAGCTCTGGGCCACTTTGAGACCACAGATGCTTTCTTCCAGGTTCAGTGCATCTCCAGTCCTCAACCTGTTGGTTTGGTGACACGCATCAATGACGCACAGTCTTAAGCAGGACTTCCAGGGGCCCCGTCTTGGAGTACATTTTAATTGTGATCTTAATTCCCTTAACCCAGGGGTTCCCTTTGGGGGTCGAACGATCCTTTCACAGGAGTCACCCAATTCACAACAGTAGCAAAATGACAGTGATGAAGTAGCGACAAAAATAACTATGGCTGGGGGGTCACCACGACATGAGGAACGGTACTGAAGGGTCTCAGCGTGAGGAAGGTTAGAACCACTGCTGTAAACAATGCCAGCATGACCCTCATCTTTTCCCTCTCCTGGCCTGAAGGGGGCTAGCTTTTCCTCTCACCTGGTCTGCCACTGAATTTCGGTCTCCCAAGAAATAGTCTCCTGGGGCTCAGGGAAAGGTGGCTCCTGCCAGTGCCAGGTGGGGCTGGCTGGGTAGAGAGCAGCTGTAACCCGGGATAGAGTGAAGGTCTCTATTTTCCACAGCAGGAAGCTTTCCCCGTAGTCTCAACGGAAGATTCTGCCCTGAGTGGTGGGAGACAGGCATGTGGAGAAGCAGCTGGCTGGGAATCCAGGGCTGGGAGGACTCGCACCCTGAGGCCAATTTGGGATCAGTGTCCTGGGACAAAGACTGGCTGGATCTCATGGACAAGCCAGCCTTTAGCTGAGCACACTGGAGGCAATTTTTTGTTGCCTTCCCTGCTCAGCAGTGTTGTTCATTGTATGGACTTTAACCCCAAATCACACACTGTACTCCCAGCTTGCTTGATCTGGTTTGTTCTGCAGTAAGAGAAATGTGTGTGTACATGCATATATAAAGGGATATTGAAGGAACTTGTTCATGCTGTTGTGTGTACATGTTGCATATGCACGCACCTTACATGTCTGTATATATAAAAGAATGTTGAAGGAGCCCAGAAACCCTTGGCCTGTGTGCCTATGTTGTGTGGCATGCATGTGCGGATATGTACAAAGGATACTGAAGGAATTCAAGGGACCCTTGGCTCCTGTGTTTTGCAAGTGGTGACAAAATAGTTCATATAGTACATTCTTGACTTGGCCATATGAAGGGAGAACAGGAGTTGGCCAAAGGTCCCGGATTGGGGGGGTCCTTGTCCCACTCTAACCAGACCTCTTGGGCGGTCTTATCTGAAGCTCCTTGGTTGCTTTAGTCCCCTCCGATGGGGGTCCCTGATCCAGCGGTAAAGGGAGGGCGCTACAGCAGAAGCCCTGGTTCAGATTGGGAGGAGGGTACTGCTAGGAGGCGGTCTGTCTTATGAAGTGAAGGCTTTTAACCCGGGACAGGGAAGGTGCTGCGGAATGGGGTGGAAGAGGGCGTGGCTTGCAGAGGGTCTTGGGGCTGATGGAGCTAAGTACTGGGGAGGTATGTTTTGACTCAGAGACCATTGCCTCTCACAGATGAGTGCTCTTGAGGCATTATCTAATTTAATTCTAACAATGGTGCTGGTCATCTCCATTTTATGAGCGACTGAGGTGTAGCGGCTGTAAATTGAGATTTGAACCCAGGTGAGGTGGACCTATACCAGGCTCGCTTAGTCCTGGGACCGTTCACTGTACTGGGTTGCTGAGAAGGGGGACGTCTTTCCTTAGGGGCACAGGTTCCAGGTTGCTGGAATTTAACAAGAGTTGGAAACTTTTGGGGAATAGCAGGGCTTGGCCCAGATGCCTCCCTTCTCAACACGGATTCGATTCATACCACCATGTAACTAGCCACCATTCTGTTCCAGATCCTGCTAAATGAGCTGTCCGATTATGCGTCTTGTGCTAGGCCACACACCCCACTGAGGCCACGTTGGGGATTTAGATTAGAGGGTGGGGTCCCCGATATAAGATGATAGGATGACTGTGGGGCCTTGAGGCAGGTGGTGAGATGTGGAGACACTGCTGGGAGGGAGGGAGGGAGCATCAAGCCCGGGGCCCACTTCCAGGCTGGGGAGACGCTTGACACCAGGAGTTCCCTGCCTAACATAAAGGCAGGCACAGGCTGGTGTGGGCGGGCAGTGACCCTGCCTCTTGCTTCTCTTGCAGGTCCAGGATGCAGGCCCTCACGTTGCTGCTCTGGATGGGAGCTCTCCTCGGGCATGGCAGCTCCCAGAACAGCGCTGGGGATGTGGAGGAGGTGTGTGTGTGTGTGTGTGTTTGAAAGGGGTGGGGGTGCTACAGCAATTCCAACCCCTTTTTCCACAGCTGCTGGCACAGTGAGTGGACACCCAGGTTCGGCTCTGGCCGTTGCCTCAGTGTCTCCATCAGCAAACAGAGAACAGATTGTGCTCTGCCTTGCAGAGAGCAGGATCGGAACCCAAGGAAACTCCCAAACTGGGAAAAGCAGTACTTCTTTAAAGCCCACAGCTGTCTCTTCCGTGAGGACCGTGTCTTATTATCTCACATTCCTGCGGGCTCTTACTGAGCGCCCGCAGCAGGTGCTGCTGACCAGGGGACAGGAGAGAATGAGGGAAGGGCAGGGCAAGGCAGGGCCCTTCCCAGGTCAGAGAGAGGGCAGTCTGGGTAGAAAGCCGATTCACACACCTGGAGTGAAGCCCAAGCTATGTGGCAGTGTGGGTGGGATTCACTGTCACACGAGGGACCAGGGCAGCTGAGACACAGTGGCGGAATCGCTGGACTCTGTCCTACGTCCTGCATTGGAATTCTCAATCTACCCCTCACGAGCATTTTGACCTTTTACCCAAGTCTCTGTGTCCTTTTATATCAGACTGGATTGTTGAGCTACTCCTCATGATGACGTGGTTAGGGCCCAAAGCCCCCCGTGTTGAACAACAATCGACATTACATGAAAACGGCCAAGTCACTGAGAATCATGGTCCGGCCAAGTGGACACGCAATGCTAACTCTCATACCAGCACTCTTCTGGCCTCACTGCCTCGGCGGTCACCACTGCCGGACGTCAGTGCTCAGAACAGTCGCACAGATTCTGTGCCTGTGGTGACTGCGCAAGCCAGACAACAAGGGAGGGTGTGAGGAGCAGAGAAAACACCCATCCTTACGGGGCCAGAGTGGCCAGACTCACTTTTCCGTCATCTACTGGACAATTTCTCTGCAGGGGCGAGTGGAAATGCAGAAAGGGCCCAGGTCTTGCGTTCAGGGAACTCAGTCCTTTGGCATATTTGACAGACACGTAACAAGCATGAGACCCAGAGGCTCAGAGCATGGGGGGCACAGAGCCTGGCATAGGGCTAAGGAACAGTAACGGCCTCGGAGGATAAGGTCAGCAAGCCCCTCTGTCCTTCAGCTTAGGGTGACCAGGAAAATCTGACGGAGGAAGTGATCTCTGACCTCGACCATAAGGTGCTGCTTGATTTTGACCATGGCAGACAAGGAGGTCTTGCTGACCTGGAAGGAATAAGCCGGGTTGCTTCTCCAGGCAGCAGGCTCGGCAGAGAACGTAGGCGCACAGTCTCCCCCCACCGTAGGCTAGACTCACTGGAAGGCCAGACGGGTGTCCCACTCAAAGCTGTGGGGTCTACTCTTCGGTCCCTCTACTCCAACCCGGGCCTTGCCGTCTCCCACAGGGTTCCCTAGCGCCCGACGCCACCACCGCAGGGATGTCAGCGGAGGAAGAAGACCCCTTTTTCAAGGTCCCCGTGAACAAGTTGGCGGCAGCTGTCTCCAACTTCGGCTATGACCTTTACCGAGTGAGGTCCAGCATGAGCCCAGCTGCTAACGTGCTCCTGTCTCCGCTCAGTGTGGCCACGGCCCTCTCTGCCCTTTCGCTGGGTGAGTTCTCCCATGCAGAAAGCCCCGGGAGTCTAGTGTGATGGGCCTGAGGGGCACTGCCTGGGGAAGGGTGGAGAGGCACTGAGAGCCAGCCCCGTGGGGTGCAGAGCTGTGCATCCAGGTCTCCCTGGAAGGAGGCTGAGCTCTGCGGGTGCTGGTACGTGGCGTCCACATTCCTACCTTCCTGGGTTAAATGAGCGTCCACCATGTGCCAGCCTTTGGCCCAGGCCATCTGCACACTGGAGTCACCAATGGGTCCCCTGGGGAACCAAATAAACAGAGTAAGCATGAAATCGCCTGGCCAGGGCTGTTCATGGAGCAGTGGAGGGACTTGAACCCTTCACTCCTCTTTCTCTCTCGGCCTGAAGTCTTTCAGGATGGAGGCGCTCATTCCTCCATTGCCTGCACACTCTTTGCCCCCTCCACTGTCCCAATCACGGGCCACCTTTCTGAGGGGACAGCACTTCTTGCTCGAGGTAGGGGGGGAGGGGCAGATGCTGAGCCCCTCACTCATCTGCCGGGCAGGAGCGGAACAGCGCACAGAGTCCACCATCCACCGGGCTCTCTACTACGACTTGATCAGCAACCCAGACATCCACAGCACCTACAAAGAGCTGCTGGCCGCAGTCACCGCCCCACAGAAGAATCTCAGGAGTGCTTCCAGGATCGTCTTCGAGAGGAGTGAGGCTGGGCTGCCTAAGCAGGAGGGGGGGGGAGTGGGCTCCAGGCTGTGGCGGGGGTCTTTCTCAACAATAGCCTGTGTATGGCCAGGCCTGGCACTGGTGGGCAGGAAGGGGCCCCGTGAGCCTAAAGGGGATCAGAAAGAGGAAGTGGACTTAGGGGGCGGGCAGGGGCAGACCAGTAATGTGAGGAGGAATGGCAATCTCTTGTTCCCTGCCCAGTGCCTGGGAAGCTGGCAAGAAGGCCCAGCATGAAGCTCTGGGAAGAGGCTGGGCAGGATGTCAGGCCCTGGGATGCTGGCTTACTCTCCTGCTAACCTCTGCTCTCCCTCCTCAGAGCTGCGGATAAAATCAAGCTTTGTGGCGCCCCTGGACAAGTCTTATGGGACCAGGCCCAGGATCCTGACGGGCAACCCTCGCATAGACCTCCAGGAGATAAACAACTGGGTGCAGGCCCAGATGAAAGGGAAGGTCCCGAGGTCCACCAGGGACATGCCCAGTGACATCAGCATTCTCCTCCTGGGCGTGGCGCACTTCAAGGGTGAGGCCCAGGGTGGGCTGGGTAGGGGAGATGGCAAAGAGCTCATGTGACGGGAGTGCAGGGGCAGAGCCAGAGGAGAGGCCGAGAAATACGCCCGCCTCAGAGACCTGCTTGTCGCCAACTCTGAGACCTTGGCATGTACTTGGTTAAGGATCTGCCAAGCACAAAAGGCTCCTGGGGAAAGAACAGCAGGATGAGTGAGCGCTTACACCTGGGAGCCCCTTTGAGGCTGGGCAGTGTGTTAGATGTATGGCTTTGGGGTCAGACGAGGTGCCAGGCCCAGCTCTGCCTTGACTAGCTGCAGAACCCTGCACAAGTACATCGTAACCCTCCGGGTTTATTTTTCTCTTTCAAAGCAGATGTCCTTCCTTTGGTCTGTCTGCTCTCCTTGAGCTGGGGTTTGCTAGCACTTCCACCTGGCCCAGGTGGTTTCAGAGACCACAGCCTGATTATTCAGATAAGGGCCCCGGGGCAGCCTCTCCTAAATGCCTAAAGAAAATGGTTTCCTATGGCAAGCAACTTCCTGCAGTAGCTCCAGACCTGTCTATTGAAGGTCACTTTAAACTAAGTGAGCCTGGAGACTCAGGTGGCTGGTCATGTCACCTACTTCCCCTCTCTGAGTCCTGCTATCAGATGAGAGGGACCAGGTGATCCGGGACTTCCCTTCCAACTTCAATATTATCTCCCGGAGATGCCGCTGTCAGTGAACACGGGCTTACCCTTCTCACAGACTAGTCTAGAACCTATCTAATCCACATGTACATCAACCCAATCATTTTGTTTCCTTCTGAACTTGCTGGTGGAATGTCTCCAGCCCTAGAAATATGAGGGGCCTCTACAACTTCATGGAACGATGGGATCAAACGATAAGGGGAATTTTCCACAGGTTTTTGAAACCCTCACGGAGAGAGAAAGCTCATTAAACTAAAGGAACGCTAAGCTAACCTTGGTGTCAGGACCATTTCAACCACAGCAGCCTGGTCCCAGCCCTTTTGGTCTCTGGGACTCACCGTACTCTGGTTCTTTCATTCTAGGGCAGTGGGTAACGAAGTTTGATTCCAGAAAGACTTCCCTTGCGGATTTCCACTTGGATGAGGAGAGGACTGTGAGAGTCCCCATGATGTCAGACCCGAAGGCCATTTTACGCTACGGCTTGGACTCTGACCTCAACTGCAAGGTCTGTGGGGCAGAGAAGGGTGGGTGGTGATGGTGGGGGCCGAGGGGCGGGTGGGCTAAGGAAAGATGGAGTGACAGAAATCGAATGGGCTTTGAGATTAGAGTTATCAAAATTGTACCCGCTGTGTGGATTGGAGCAAGATCATCTCTTCTCTGAGCCCTTCCGCTTCTTAGGCTGGGAAGGCGTGGTTGCTGACATGATGGTAAGGATAGTGTTGTAAAGATTAGTCAGGTAATGTAAAATGGGCCCGGCCCATTGTGGTTAGAGAATTCTCAGTTGGACTTTGAAAGACTGTCAGACACTTCAAGTTCATTCTCTTTCATGGGCATCTGAATTCTTCCCGTCTGACGGCCAGTCTCACATCTCTTTGGGAACCTGACCAGAACTCCTGGAACGCTGAACGACTGCCATACATACATCGGCACATTTCTGTATCTGGTTTCAGGGGGCTCTTGGGACCCCTGACACTGTCCATTTCCTGGACCTGGCTCAGGGACCCTCTATCGCTGCTTCTGCACCCAACAAACACCTTCATTGCTAGTCCAGCACTCTGTACATACCAGATGGTTAGTTAACACGGGCAGACTGACATTGAGAGCAAACAGATCCGGCTTCCATTCTAGCTCCTTGGAATTGGCTGTTGCAGACTCAATTTCAGTTGACATTAGGCCTTCGTAAGGAAAGGCAACTGCAGACTCTTTGAGGGAACAGCAGGAGGTGACTAGCTGCCAGATCCCAAGAGCCTAGAGGTGCAAATCTTTAGAAGCCAAGGGGCTGGGTGCTCCAGGCCTCTGAAGGACTAACTGGGTGCTTCCTCCCTGCTTGTCATTCCAGATTGCCCAGCTGCCCCTGACGGGGAGCGTGAGTATCATCTTCTTCCTGCCGCAGAGAGCAACTCAGAACTTGACCCTGATCGAGGAGAGCCTCACCTCGGAGTTCATTCATGACATAGACCGAGAACTGAAGACTGTCCAAGCGGTTCTAACCATCCCCAAGCTGAAGCTGAGCTATGACGGCGCCCTCACCGAGGCCCTGCGGGAGATGAGTATGTTGGCAGGTGGGAAGGAGGGCTGTTCTCTGAGGCTGCCCCCTCGCACAGCAGAGTTCAAGGGCTCCACGAACAGTCCCTTCACTGTACTCGTGCTGGAGAAGGGGGTAGGTGAGCCCGAGTGGGCATCCTGTGGCAGGAGCTAGGAGCGCTACTTCTCCAGCGAGGGCTTTGACTGCCTTCGAATCCCAGGCTTGCTGCTAAGGTGCTCCTGGGAAAGCCACTTAACCTGCTCAAGCCACATCCCTCACCGAAGCTGGGCAGCTCTCCTCCAGCCAGACTGGGGATCAGGGTTTAAGAGCCAGGCTGATAGTCTTCCTCGGGGTCTAAGGTAAGGCACGGTTCTAACGGCAATTTCTCTCCACCGGGGCAGAGCTCCAGTCCCTGTTTGAGTCACCAGACTTCAGCAAGATCACAGGCAAGCCCATCAAGCTCACTCACGCGGAACACCGGGCTGGCTTCGAGTGGAATGAGGACGGGGCAGGAGCCGCCCCCAGCCCCGGGCTCCAGCCGGCTCGCCTCACCTTTCCTCTGGACTACCACCTTAATCAGCCTTTCATCTTCGTCCTCAGGGACACGGACACAGGGGCCCTTCTCTTCATAGGCAAAATCCTGGACCCCAGGGGCACCTAATGCTCCAGGTTCAGGTTCAAGTTCGCCAGGGGGACGGCAGGTGATGCATGAAAGCTGCCCTGTGCTGCTCGTCTATACTTTGCAATAAAAAGAGCTTGACCCGTAACTTGTGTCCCCTTGTTCCGAGCTCCTTTCCTGGGCCACGTGAAGCTGAGTGTGACGCCCTACGGCCATTGAGGAATGTGCTGGCTTTCTAGTCTGGCTTTAGATAAACTGCATAAAGGTATATTAAACTGTCCAGTTTTGGTGCTTTGGGCTAAGCACTGGGCTACTGACTGCAAGGACAGCAGCTTGACCCCACCAGCAGTTCCGAGGGAGAAAACCGAGGCTACTTGTTCCCACAAAGATTTACCCCAGTCTCCGAACCCCCGGGGCCGTTCTCTGTCCGATACAGGGCTGCTCTCAGTCAGAATCAGTGGCTTTGGTTCTCCCTGCATCATGGAATGTGGGGGCTGCTTCCCAGCTCCAGGGTCGCTCATGTTCTAGGACCACTAGCCACAGCCCCCCCCCGCCCCCCACGGATTTTCTTTGGTGAACAGACTATCCTTCAGGTTTTAACGCAAGCCCAAGTTGTACCCCTGGCAAGTCAAGCTTACCTACAGTGACAGAAGATAACACATGGACAGGAAAGAGATGTAATTTGTTAACTCTCGGAAGTAATTGTTTCTTAAAGCCTTTAACAGAAAGTTCTCCATCATGAATTAAGCAAGACCTTTATGTAAACACTCTGAAGACGTCCTTTTTAAGGAAGTATGCCTGTTTTGCCAATTACCACAAAGCCTTTTTCGGGGGAAACATGACAGCATGCCAAGGGTTTGGAACAGAGCTGCCATAGATTTGTTCACAGAACTAAGTTTTTCCCCCTCTGTCTTGAAAAAGGGAGCTCTAGCAAAAGAATCCCACTGGGTACTTCCTGGCCACAATGAATCAGTAAACTATTAACAAAACCCAACCACCACCCTGGCAAGTGAGTGGAAAGAAGAAGAAATGAAACCCTGCCTTTCATCCAGCAAGTATTTGAGAGCTGCACTCCGAGCCCTTGGCTCCCTGAAGAGCGGCTGCCAAGCATGGTCGGGGTATTCTTTTCCTGGGTGTGACGCCATGGCAACCCGCTGGCACTTCTAGGGCACGGCCGGGGCTGGCCGGCTCTCAAAGCTGGGCAGGCATTCTTTTCTGCCGGCTCATCTGAACCACGTGGTCCCAAGTAGGGATTCAGCAAGCCGGGTTCAGATCCAAAAGCCCCTGCGGTTGAGTGGCCAAGGTCTTAGAGATCTCATTGTTGCTGGCCTGGGATGGTGACTTCTTGTACAATGAGATGGGAGCACTGTGACCACCAGGGCTCCCACTAGGCCTTTCCTCCTAGTCCTCGTCTGGAAGCTCCACGGATCAACATCATAGCCGGCAGCAGGCAGGTGACGGCTCTGCTTTGAGGGGCACTGGCCAGGGACTGCAGTGCCTCTGCCCGCCTGGAAGGCAAGAGTTCTTCTACCCGAGCCCTTGTGCTCCCTAGATTGGCACAGGGTCTGGACTGTCCCTGCGCATCTAGGTGGAAGGGGGCTCACAATCTTGGCTCATAAACCTGAAATCACAAAGCACACCGCCCGCTCCCGCAGCAAATCCGCCGGTTGTCCCCCGTCCCGCCCCCCGCAGTACAACGAGGGCTCTGTTCGTTTGCTGCCGTGGGGAGGTTGGCTAGAGAAGCAAGGCCTCTCTTCAGGCTGCAGCACGTGCACGCTCAGTCACTCCTCCACAAGCTTGACTTTATGAGCATCTCACAGAGGGACAGCCGGGTCACACGGGCAGGAAAACTGGTACAAAGCAAATTCTGAGCTGCCAGCCCTGGGAGAAAGTGCCCAGCAACCAGCGGACCTCATCTCCACCAGCTTTAACCGAGGGGCCAGGGAAGAGGAATACCATATGTGATATGTGAAACGACGCCGCGGCTCCAGAGGTAGGGCGCCTCACTGATTTCTTGCTTGATAAGTATTTTTCAATTACAACACAACGACCAAGAGTTTAAGTTCCCTCTAGAGTGGTACACCGCATTTCATGATGACTACACTCCACCGGCATGTTCCAGGAGGAAGGACCACCATGCTTCAGTGAGGTGGAATCGAGCCCAAACCCCAGGCTCACACCTTGATGCCTGTAGTCCGGCTCCAGTCCTTTAAGGGGCCTGCACTTTCCAGATACAGGTTCTAACTGATTCCTGGACACGGGGAGTGCTTCGTGGAGGGCAGTGAACTATTTCAAGAAACATTCATCAAAAGACGTGAGGATGCCTTCCCTACTGAAGTGCCGAGCCCGCCCTTCCCTTCCCCTCAGAAACTAGGCTTTCACTGAAGGACTGTGTTTCTTGGCAACAGCCCACAGCATCGACCCTCTCCAACTCAGCTTCTGGGGACTCCTTTCCCGAGCATCACAGGGCTCTGGGGACCCTCTCCTGAAGGCCCCACAGGGATGGGCGGCAAGTCCAATAAACAGGATTTCATCTTCTGGAGCTCCTGAATCTCTTCACTCCGGGGCCCACAATGAACCCCCAGCACTGCTTCTGCTCTCCGTATTGTGTCCAGAGCTTCGGGAGCGGCCAACCTGGACAGAGGAGGCAAGGGAGCCACTCAGCCACCAGGCACACAACCAGGGTCTGCTCACACTCTGTGGAGCACACACACACTGCGAAGGATCCTGTTTGCCCCTGAGGATCTTACAACCCAGAAAGACACATTTACAAATATACTGCAAGGCAGCATTTGGATCAAGACCTGAAAGAAAGGATAAAAAACCCAAGAGCCTGAGCAATAGGGCACCCTTAGCTCTCGCTGTGCTGTCTCCCTCCCGCTCATGAGCTCTAGAGGCCCCTTTCCTCTCTCTGGCCAAGGGGGCTGCCCTGGGCCTCGGGCTTCAGTCTCCCGACACTCAGAATTAGCATCACGCTTCCAACACTTTGTCCCATGCCCAGGACACCAGTGGCAGCTTCTTAAGACAACGGTGTTCCGCCCAGAAGAAGGGAACTGGGACCTCACAAGGACCTCAGTCGCACAAGTGGATGAGGCAGTGGCTCATCCACGCTACCATTCCTGTTCCCTTTGAAGTAGGGCTTGTGAACCCTGACAATACTGCCCCTGATTCAGAGTCAAATCACTCTGCCGTGGCGCTGTCCTGTGTACTGCAGATGGTTAGCAGCATCCTTGGTCTCTACCTTGCTTCACGTGAACCCTACAGTTGAGCCAATCAAAATGTCTCCAGACTTTGCCAAATGTCCCCAAGGTGATTACCCCTGGTTTAAATGACTGCCTTAAAAGGGATCTGAGGCTGAGGCTGGCTGGGCGGGACCAGAAACTCCGGAGTTGTGGGTGCTGAGACTGAGAGGCTGAGAGGAGAAAGCTAAGGGCCCAGAGCAGGCCTGCTATCATGGTGGGGGCTGGTGGTGGTGCTGCATGGCAGGGAGACATTCATCAGCAACACAGAAGGCAAGCAGTTCTCTTAAGAGGGGACATAAAGTGGCCACATGCTTGAAAGCATCAGAAAAAGAGTTTGTAGAAGAGCCCAGTAAAAGCCCCCAGGGCATGTGCCGTCCTGGGGAAGTGCTAGGGAAGGAGAGCTGCTTACCCATTAAAAAATACCTGGGCCAGTTTGAAGAGCTCATGGCCCATTTCGATACTGGAAGGCCCATGACGAGCCTCAACCACTCGGAGACTCTTCTGCAGGTGGGTAGCTGACTTTTGCCAGTCCCCTGTGAGAAGAGAAAAAAAAAAACACCTTGTTCCAGACAAAACCAAAACAAAAATAAAAACAAGGACGACATGGCTACACAGTCTTAGGGTGAGGGGACGGGAGAAAAGGAGAGCAGCACCAGCTTCAGGATGCAGGCACCGCCCGGCCGGGGCAGGGGCACACGGCAGCCTGTCCTCAGAGGCAGGGCAAGGCAGAGCGTACCTAAGGCAGCGTAGGCCTGTGCCAGGCTGTCCTCAATTTCTCCCACCAGGGCATGCTCGGCCGACAGGAAACCTTCCGCTGCGCGCTGGCTTCCCAACAACCGCTGGACGGCTTGCTCTGCCAGTTGAAAGGGAAGCGGCCTCAGTACAGACACAAACACAGGCCTGCACACGAAGACCAAGGTCAGTCTCAGATTCCACATCGGTGGGGCGAGTGTGGAAACCCCCAGGGGCCTTCCTGGGGTGTCACCAACCCACACGGCTACATCTCTTTGTTCCAAAAAAGCTGTTGTTCTCTGCCACAAAGAGGCATTGGGTGAGGTCTCCCTACATTTGACCTTGGATTTGAACTTCAGCTCTACATTCTATTTAGGGTCATGATTTCTCTTGACTCGGAAGTCTACATTAAAGGTCCACTTTTTTTTTTTTTTTAATTAAAAAAAAATTTTTTTTAAAGGTCCGCTTTCATGAAGTAAATAAATTCCTAGGACGCAGACTCGAAGACCAAGTTTTCCAGTGGAATGGCCACTTCCATAACTTGTTCTTGGGGGAGGATATTTGGCGTAGCCACTGGGCACACGGCCTGCTGCTCTCTGGACTGGTACTGAGGGGGACAGAGTCACCCCTCCAGGCAGTTAGGACATTAGGCCCTGGAATGGGTGGGGTACTTACTATCCGGTGCTTACGCAGGAGAACAACTGTTTAAATCATCCGGCCACACGCACTGAGCTGGTCTGCATCTCACTGGGCTACATAGCCATCTTGTGGCTGGTGTGGGAATAATTCAATTCAAGTCTTCAACCATCACCACTGTGTATGTAGCCTTGTGTCCAAGGTGATCTCGAAATGAGGCAATGGGAAGGGGCTGGAAGACCACAGCAGGGAGATAGTCTCACCCAATTGACCATTCCTGAGAAGCGCCTGGGCCACGTCAACCTGCTTCTGAAGGTCCTGGAGGCAAGAGACAAGGTGGTCCCTGCGGAGCGATTCCGTACAGGAAGCGGAGCCACAGCGCAGCACAGCGCCTCCCTGTGGAAGACAGGTTCTCTTGACTCCTGTGCCGGAGTCAGTTATCCTCAGTGCACGTGCTCACGTGGCAGGGCTGCTCCTCGGCTTCTGACTCTCCTGGAGAGACTCAGGGCCAGAGCCCCACTGAATCTGGGTGGACAGCAACAATGAGAGCAGTAGCCGGATCCCTGCCTGCTCCCAAGATGGAATTTTCGAGACCAAATTGGTACAATCCACAATTGCTTTCCACCTTCACGATCCCTCTCTCATCTTTCTTTGGGGCTGGGGCTTGGACTGACAGGCATA